TTCTGCTGCTTGCCTAGCTCTGCAGTCATCTCATTTTGCTACATCTACTTAGTGTTTCCTGATAAAGATGGTTCTTGACCAACTAGGTTGGAATGTACTGGATACTATGACTGCCTGGGGGAATGTCATAATGCTTCTTAGCATATTAAAATTATGAAAAGTTCTATAGTTAAAAAAAAAAAACCTCACTGGTTTATCTTTGCTTAAACCAGTGCTTCCCACAATTCTTTGATTGCAAACCCTTTTCTTTTTACAGAATACCTAACACCATCCTATGGGACAAGAGGTTCCAATAGAACATGGTTTCAGAAACAATGGCTTTGGAATATTGTTTTGTCTTATAATCTACATTTAAAAGAATAAAGAATAAATCTGTAGATACAAAATCCAGTAACTATAAAGTCTGACAAATATGACAGCCTGCAAATTAAAATCTTTCTATGCAGTGGAATATCATGATAAGCAGGAGAAGATTCTTGTAAGATGTGTTACTGTAAAAGGGTTAATATTAAAGGTGCATGAAGAATTCTACAAACCAATGAGGAAAAAAAAAACTAAGAATGGAAAAAGTATATGAACATGTAATTTAGTAAATATAGATGTTTAATAAATATAGAAAAGATGCCCAACCGTACTAGCAACCAAAAAGTTGCAAATTACACATCAGATCTACAAAAATCTAAAAGACTCTATGTCCAATGGTAAAAAGGTTATGGGGAAAGGAAAAGCTAGTTAAAGGAAATTGGTTACTGCCTCTTCTAAGGTAATTGACAGTCTCTCCTAAAATTTATATGTCTATACATTTTTATGCACTAATTCTTCTTTGAACAATCCATCCTACAAGGATTTTTACAGGTACACAAACATACATATTAACTAGTTTTTACCATATATTTATAATAAAGAAAAACTGAAAATAGCATGGCACCTGGTAGCAGGGGTGGGCTGAAAAAGGTATAATGTACCCATTTGAGCAGTGCTGGGCAGTGGTTAGAAATGAAAAGAATGTACTCTGTGAGATGGCAGGATGCCACTGGTGTGTGGTTAACTACGAAAAGCAAGTTGCAGACCTGTATATTTACATACACACACAGATGCACATACACATTCGTGCATAGAAAGCAGTCTGGAAGGAAATTCACAATGTTAAGGAACAGTGGTCCTCTCCTCTCTGGGAAGGAAAGATTGGAGCTGAGAGGAGGATACCATATGGGACTTTGGGAACAATTTTCACCCTAATGCATTATCTGATATAAATGTTTTTACATCAAGCATACAGTACTGACTTTTTAAAAATTTAAAAATTATAAACAAGAAAAAAAAAACGGATGAAGGCATAGAGGGAGACAGTTGTTATTTGAGTAAGGTGGCCATGTAGCTGAAGGGTTACAAAAAGGGGCTCTAAGAGCAGCCTGCCTGCATTTGAATCCAGGCTCTCCACTTGCTAACTTTGCAACCCCAGGCTAGTTATTTAATTGTGATGCACCAGAGATTCTTTATTTATGAAAATAATATTTCCCTTGCAGTGTTGTAACTAATAAGATAATCTATTAGCAGTCTTTGGCACAGCATCTGCCCTGATGTAAATTTTTAGAGAATAATCATAATCATTATTTATGTTAAGTAAGAATCTTAGTTTTATATGGCTAGGAGGAAGATTTTCTTTAGGAAAGTAATTTTTGTGATTTTTGCTTTGATCTGATTGTTAAAGGGTGATACATGTTAATAACAGAACACCTAGAGTATGTAGAAAAATAAAAAGAATAAAAAATGCATGATTCCATTAGAGTCTTAAACATTATTTTCCATTCATGTGACTTACAATTCTATCTGCTGAAACTGTAGTCTGCCCTGCTTTTTAGCAAGTGGTGTTGCTAGAGGGTGAGTGTGGCTCTTACCTCTGGATACATCGGTTAACTAGAAGAGAGGAAGCAATCCACCACAATGCTCAGCTTTCCCAACCCATCTAGTGGACCAAAACATGCCCACTATTATTCAGAAAGTGGCTAGGGAGAGGAAATACAAATAACTTGCCACCAGCAAAGCAATCCAACGACACCATCTTCCATTAATAAGTCACCATTTACTGAGCACTAAAATATGCCTCGTGCTCTGTTGGATGCCTCACATATATTTTTAATCTTTACAGTTCTGCAGAATACATATAACTTTCTCTATTTCACAGATATGTAAATGTCTGAGAGGTTAAATGTTTGGTCCAAAACCGCATGGATAATAAGGTGTGGAAGCAGAATTTGCAGATCTATAGAACTACAAGCTCTGTGGTCATGCTACTCTGTGTTACTGCCTCCTTGAAGACAGAAGTTGTGACTTCACTTTTGTATACAAAGAAGTCCATGCTTATGTTTTGATGTACATACAGAGGCTTGCATCAATATCCTGATGTCTAGGATGCGGAATCATTCTCCTGTGATCTGTGTCATGCTGCAGATTACCCTCTTTGCCAGCACAGACTTGTTGATGTGAGCATCACTCATACATATTTTACATTTCACTTAGGTGGCGGCTTTGAAATACATCCCATCTGTCCTCCATGATGTAGAAACGGTCTTTGATGCAAAGTTACTCAGGTGAGAGCTTATGTTGTACTTTCTTGGGCTCTATTGGCAAGCCAGGGATTCAGAGTGGGAGGTGGGCTCTTACGGGGAGCTTCAGATGGGCACTCAGCTAGGGGTGGGGAGGACCTGTGGCAGGGGACTTTTTCAAGGCTTCCAGTATGGGATTTTTACCTTTTGGTTTTCCTGTGCCAGACTGGTGAAAAACAACTGTGTAATAAGCATCCCTCTTTAATGGTATGAAATGTAATCATATAGGTTAAAAAATTGATGTTTGGGGTAAATGTCTCCATTTCACCTGGGCCTGAAGGTTATTTTGGGTTCCACTCTTTGCCCTGGAGGCCCCACAGTTGCAAACAGAGAACAGCCTAAGCACACCTAAAGAGATAATGGAGATGGCTCCCTTTTTCCTTCTCCCTCTTAACTCCATTGGGCTCGTAGATAAACACATTTTTTTAATGTTATTATGCTGTTGGAATAGGGGCATCTCAATCAGATATACCTTTTTCTTTTTAAAAAATTTATTATAGTTTCCAGATAACAGATTTAAAAGACTTTTTATATTAAAATACTTAAAGATTTAGAAAAGAGTTTCAAAGATTACATACAGAGTTATCATGTGCCCCTCACCCAGCTTCCCCTAATGTTAATGTTTACATAACTATGGTACGTTTATAAAAACTGAGAAATTAACATGGGTACAGTTCTCTTAACTGCACTCTGGTCTTTATTCATATGTCACCAGGTTTTTTGTGGATGTCCTTTTTCTGTTCATATGGGAGACTTTTGCTAGCTACTTCTCATCCTTCAGATCCTCAAACTAAATGTTATCTTTTTGGAGAAGCCACCTCTCAATATTGTAAACAAATTAAAATTTCCCTCCAGCCCTTGTGCCATTATTCATTGACACAGCTCCCTATTTATTTCTTTCACTGCATACATCACTGTGTATTGATTTGTTTGCTTCTGTGTCATTTGACGAACTCTATTAGAGTGTAAGTTCCATGCCAACTGGGACCTGGTCTGTTCCCCTTGTATCCCCATTTCTCTGTGCTTTGCCTGACTCATATTAAGTAGATGTTTAATAAGTCCTTGAAAGAATGAATGAATACAATAAGCTTATTTTGGAAAGCCGACAAGGACTATAATTTTGTTTCAGGGCATTTTGATTCTCACCCTTTTTGGGAAAAGCCATCTCCCTTTTGATGTCCCAAACTGGTTCTAATTCATAATTTTTCATAGTTTTTTTAAAAAATTAGAGACCTTTTGATTTTAAGCCTTACCATAAAGGATTACCAGCATAAAACATTTGTAAGTAAAATGGTATGGTAATAAAGTCAGAACCTTGTTTTGAACTCTTGTTTCATTAACTTCCTAGCTGCATAACCTTGGGAAAGTTAGTTAGCCCTTCTAAACTTGAGCTTTCCAACTTATGCAATTGGGATAAGTATTGGGTATAGCTTTTTAAAAAAAATTATTTATTTTACTTTAGGTGCATACTATATCTGACATTTCTTCCCGTGTTATCCCTCCCCACCCTCCCCTCCCTTCCCATCCCCCACCCCCTACTGTCTCTCCTTTACCCCCACAACTGCCCCCTAGTGTGTGATGTTCCTCTCCCTGAGTCCATGTGTTCTCATTGTTCAACACCTACCTATGAGTGAGAATGTACGGTGTTTGGCTTTCTGTTCTTGTGTCAGTTTGCTGAGAATGATGGTTTCCAGATTCCTCCAAGTCCCTACAAAGGACACAAACTCATCGTTTTTTATGGCTGCGTAGTATTCCATGGCGTATATGTACCACATTTTCTTTGTCCAGTCTATCATTGATGGGCATTTGAGTTGGTTCCAGGTCTTTGCTATTGTACACAGGGCTGCAATAAACATACGTGTGCATGTGTCTTTATGGTAGAATGATTTACAGTTCTTTGGCTCTATACTCAGTAATGGGATTGCTGGATCAAATGGAATTTCTATTTCTAGATCCTTGAGAAATTGCCACACTGTATTCCACAATGGTTGAACTAATTTACACTCCCACCAACTATGTCAGAGTATTCCTATTTCTCCACATCCTCTCCAGCATCTGTTGTCTCCAGATTTTTTTAATGATCACCATTCTAACTGGTGTGAGATGATATCTCAGTGTGGTTTTGATTTGCATTTCTCTAATGACCAGTGATGATGAGCATTTTTTCATATGTTTGTTCACCTCATATATGTCTTCTTTTGAAAAGTTTCTGTTCATATCCTTCGCCCAATTTTGAATGGGGTTGTTTTTTTTTCTTTTAGAGTTATGAGGTCTACATGGCATAATTAATGCAAAATGCAAAGTGTGTGCTTGATACACTGTAACTAATCAGGGCTATTGGTATTATTTTCAGATTTTTTTTTCTTTTTAAAATAAAAAAATAGTTTTTTTAAAAAAAATATAGAACGCTTCACGAATTTGTGTGTCATCCGTGCACATGGACCATGCTAATCTCTGTATCGTTCCAATTTTAGTATATGTGCTGTCGAAGCAAGCACTATTTTCAGATTTTTACGTCTCTTTTAATGCTACTAATAGCCCATACCAAGAACAACTCGTACATTTTTACTAAAGGCTTACCTTGCACTTAACGCTCTGCCGGGACTTGGGGTTATCTCAGGTCTAGAGATCCAGGGATGAACTGTAAGTGCTATGAGGTGCGAGACATTGGTCTACTTTGCTCTACTAGCTTCTATTTTTCCTGCCCTCAGCCAACTCCTGTATGAGTTCTACACCTGCATCCCTCCTGTGAAACTCCAGAAGCAGAAAGTACAGTCTATGAATGAGATAGTCCAGAGCAACCTCTTTAAAAAGCAAGGTGAGTACACAGCACCCTTGCTGGGGTGGGGTAAGGGGCCAATAAGCCCCACATCTTTTTTGGGAAGCTTGGCAGAAGAAGGCAACCTGTCTGGTGACTAAGACATCTCTTTTCTTACAACTCCTTTGGTCTGCATAAATGCAAAAAGTTGAAAGTAGCTGACAACTTAGATATCAGAATCTAAATTGATTTTAGGAAAGCTGAGGTTGCATTGTTTATTTCTCTTGAGAAAGTTTAATGAGGCTCTTTTTTTTTCCCCTGTATGGTTTATTATTGCTATCTTAAACTCTAGGGGAAATGGATGAAGTTCCTTTTAGTAGAAAGAGCCTTTCACGGGGAAGTTCTCAAAGTTTTGAGTGTGTAAGAATAAACTGGAGAGCCTATTAAATTGCTAATTCCTGAGACCCAGTTTAAAGAGTCTGATTGAATCAGAATTAGCATTTTTTAAAAGTTTTTTTTAATGTAAATTATTTTAGAGTAGTTAATGCATTTACATGGATCAAAATGCAAAGGTATGAAAGGGTACCATTTGGAAAGGGTCCCTCCAGACCCTGTGCATGGCTACTCCCAGTCCCCTCTCCAGTGGCAAAAGCCATATCCAGCTTCTTGTGTTTGCTTCTAGGCACACTCTGTGGGTGTGCCATCAATTATATATATGCTATTTACTCTTTATTATTATCATGCAAATGGTAGCATAGTATGTAACTGCTCTGCACTTAGCCTTTCTTCACTTAATGGTATATATTTTTGGGAGATCATGGAATGACAGTGGTTTCGCACAGAAGTTATGGTCAGAGCTTCTGCTTACCCTAAACTGGTCACCACTGGATCCCACAGGCAAGAGACTTAGAGTTCCCTATTTTCAAGGTCAGTCAACTAGATGTGACTAGCTCCTCTAGATTTGATCAGGCAGGATTCGTTAGCTCATATTCATCCTCCGCCTCATCTCTAGTAATGCTCTGCACGTTTGAATCTGCAAAATGGATCAAGCCTTTGGCTCCATGTAAAAGAATGGCCTGTTCAGAAACTCTGCATTTCTTCACTCCTGTCTGTAAGGGTGAAGAAGTGACTTTTCAGGGTCAGTACTTTTTTTCTGTACCCTAAGACCAAACCTTCCCAATTTTCAACTTCTCTATCCACACTGATGTTAACAATAAAATGAGAAGCAAACTGTGCAAGAAACAAAAGGTCTTAGAATTCAGAGGATCAGCCGTCACCCAACTGGAATTTATTCAGGGAACGAAGCCTGAATATTTATGCAAATTGCCTAGTAATCATAGAAATATTCAGGAACCACTTCACTGTAAAGATGTTTTTTCCAATGCCTGGTTAACATGGTGCATCCAGAATTGCTGTCTGTATGCTATCGGTGGAGTTAAGGGTAGGAGGAGGATGTGGGGATGAAAAGTGTTCTTGTGGTTTTAATATTCATGTGTGTGGTTTCTTGACCCTTTAGACAGATGTGTGACAACAGATTAATCCAATAAATATGCAGTTTGAGCAAGATGGTTTGTGTGAGGTTATGGAGACTAATTCTGGGAATTGCCCTCCTTGGGTTACTGTGCCTTTTTAAAGTGAGACTTCCATGGTTTTAAAGTTCTGACTTCTACCTCCAAATAAATTGCCCTCATACCAAATGCATTGAAATATGTCTTCCCCTTCCTGCCCTGGAAGGCCCTCTCAGGATTTCAGGTGGCGCCACTGCAAAGACAAATTGAGTCCCATCCTAGGGTCTTGACAAGGACGACTCTAGCTATGCATATGATGCAGCACAGGCAGCAGGGAGCGGGCTACTTGGCTCTCCTTCATTGTTCAGAGCTGCTGTCATTGCCAGGGGCCTGGCTTGGCATCGAGGCCAGATGGACTGCTAGCACGGGCCTGGGCAGGTCATGTGGTGTCAATTCCAGCCTCATGGAAGTCGGAGTAATTCCTTTACTGCAGCCACATCTCCAGGGCTGGAAGGAGGCCTCTGAGGGTTAGCATAGTCGCAGGGCAGGCTGGACAGCTGCTGCTTTTCGGTCCTGCTGTGTGTCTGGGTTTCAGATTCAGTAAAAACACTCTGATTAATATTAACTGACAGAAGGCCCACCCTGGCATTGTACACAGTTACAAAAGAAATGCAAAATTCTTACCTTTAAATACATACAGAGACTAGAGGTAGGCAAAATGTCCTCTGGGGGCCCATTTCAAAGAGGAGGCAAAGTATAATTAGTGTAGCCATGCTCAGCTCACATGTTAAAGCTGTACGCGCTCACTCACAGCTGAAAGGTAACTCTTATCCCACGATCTATTTGCTAAGTGAGCCCTCTCACCAAAATAGTTCCAAAGGGAAACTTCAACTCATCCCCTTTCTTAAATCCTTTAGTTCCCAGTGAATAAAATCTGAATTCATTATACTTAATAGGTGGCCATTGCCCTTTGGTGAACATCTTTCTTTATACCCTTAAATAAGGTGAGTGTGATTTCCTCTGGCCAAGTTTGAGCAGTAATGAAATTCTTCCTGTTATTCTCCCTGTGAAGTGTCCTGTGCCTCAGGGATGTGATTTGCTTTGAGCCTGCACTCATTTAACTGCCAGATGTGCAAATTGCCTGGAGTATTTTCAGTGGCATTTGCTTGTACTCACAGCCTTGAACATTTGTATTGACATCAAGCTGAGGGGCCAGAAGGCTTTTAAGCACTTTCTGAGATTCTGGCAGACTACCCTATTGGCCTGTCTTCAGGAGGATCCTATGGAGAAGGTGGAGAAGGGTTTACTGGTTAAGGGCAGTGGTTCTCGGGGTACACTACACCTGAGTTTAATTCCTGGTTCGGCCCTTTACGTGACTATGTGACTATGAGTAATTTTCTAAACCTCTCTGATCCTCAGTAGGCTCATCTGTAAAATGGGAATAAGAACAATAAGGTCTGTCTTAGAGGGTGATCATGTGGGCTAATGAGATGGATGATGTATTTAAAGTACTTGACACAGCGCTGGGCTCAGCATGATGTCTCATACTAAGCAGTAATTGTTGTTATTGGTGTTGTGGTTATTTTTCCTGCTAATCCCAATTTTTGTGCTGACCTTTAAATTCCTTGCAATAAGGGAGTCCCTTAATTTTTGACAGTTGCATATAACCCTAAGCTACATGATTTTCCTCGGTCTGAGAAACACAGGACCTAGTGAATAAAAGGGCCTTGGTTGATACATGCTTTCCATCCTGGCTTTAAATGTTTTGTTTTGTTTTGCTATTTTTATTTCCCTAGAGTGTTTTTCTAAAGGGTCCATGTTATGTAGGCCTAGAAGTAGAGGTCAAGGTGAAATGTTTGTGATTTCTCACTTCATTGTTTATCTTACTGCAGGCACCAACATAGTTACATAGTTTTGGACACTTGGTAGCCATCTGTTCTGATGATTTACCCTTCAGGCCTCTTTTAAAACACATACACACACACGCACACGCACATGCACGCACGCACACACACACACCCCTTTATGGAGGCAATTAGCCTCAACTTTGATTTGACTTGTGCTATTGAGTAAATTACTTAATCCTTGCAAGTCTTAATTTCCTCATCTGTAAAATGGGAATAGCCACAGAATGTGCCTCCATGTGTTGCTGGTGCATCAGTGGCACATATGGCTGGTTAGCCTTGGAATTGCAGGAGTAGTCACCACCAGCCAGGTTCCCACATGGAATGGCTTGCCCCATGTGAGGGACTTCCGGCTTCAGTGAGAGGAGAACTGAGAAACCTACAAACACTAATTTGCTCTCTTCTCCAGCTCACACTCAGACTTGCCTGGAGGTGATGACAGGAGAAAGGATGCCCAGATACACCCAGAGAAAGCTCCAAGGGGAGTCTAGGAGAAAAGCAAACCCTCTGTGCCTTTGAAACAGATTTGTCCCTATGAGAACCTCATCTCCAAGTAATGTATCTTTTTAGTCTGATGCTAATCAGAGGCACCATCTGGTTCAGTGTAAACTGCTTTAGGATCCACATTGCTTGCGATTTCTCTTCAACTTTCCAAAACAAACAGAGAGAGAGATTGACACAGAGAGAGAGAGAGAGAGAGAGACAGACAGACAGACAGACACACACACACACACACACACACACACACACCTGGCAGAGATTTGGAAACTCAATGTTTATTTTCAGCTGCTGGGTTTTTTCATTGGGTACCTTATCGAGAAGCTGTTGTTTGAGCAAAGCATCCAGTTTCCCTTATATCAAAGCGTAGCTTCCTTCTTCCCTCTCATCTGATGCCCACAGTATCTGGAGCTGCTGGGTCCTCGATTTGCAGTGTACAGGGGGCTCGGCAATGGTTAGGGGAAAGAGGGATGGAAATAATTGTGCCTGTATCTTTTCTATCGTTATATCATTGCAGCACTGGGCTGGGAATAAACAATACGCTGACTCTAGCAGTTACTACTTTTTTTTTTTCTTTTCAACTTTTAGGTTCAGGGGGGTACATGTGCAAGTTTGTTACATGAACTAATTTCATGTCAGGGGTTTCATGTACAGATAATTTTGTCACCCAGGTAATAAGCATAGTACCCAATAAGTAGTTTTTTGATCCTTACCCTCCTCCCACCCTCCACCCTCAAGTAGGCTCCAGTGTTTATTGTTCCTTTCTTTGCATCCATGTGGACTCAGTGTTTAGCTCTCATTTATACCTGAGAGCATGCAGCATTTGGTTT